TTACTCTGTAAATCTTTACCCAAATCAAAATAAAATTTTTAAAAAATTAAATAAATAAAAATAAATAACTAGAAAAAAAAAAGAGGTAACAGACAGTAAGGGTAAATGCTATTACATACACAATACTGCATTATCAGCAATAGCAGACATTAATCTCTAGGTGAATACAAAAGCATACAGGCAAGAAGATCAGGCATGGGTAGGCGAATGGGAATATACCCAGCACCCTACAAAGGTTTGGTAGACAATACTACTACGTATGTATTTGTATATGCTATGTTGTTGTTGTTGTTATGTGCCACGGAGTCAGATCTGACTCATAGCGACCATCCCTTGGGTTTCTGAGGCAGTATCACTATGGAAGTAGATTGCACAACCTTCCTTCGGAGGAGTGGCTGATGGGTTTGAACCGCCAGCCTTCTGGTTAGCAGTCAAGTGCCTTAGGCACTATGCTATCAGAGCTCCTTTGTTCGTGCTATAAAAATGGCCATATGCATTATAGAGCTAACAGGAGACAAAGTTATGATAACTTCTTAGCCACAGCTAAGCACCTTGAAGGAGCAAGTTGCTGGGCCTGTGGACTTGGGTCAATGGTCATGAGGGACATCAAGTTCAATTGGCACAACACAATACACAAAAACATTGTTCTGCACCCTGCTTTGGTGAGTAGCAACTGAGGTCTTAAAAGCTTGTGAGCGACCATCTAAAATGCAACTGTTGGTCTTTTCTGGTCCTGAGCAGAGAGATTGAAGAAAATCAGATGCATGGAAATAATTAGTCCAAGGGACAAGTGGACCATGGGAACCTCAGCCTGTACAACCCTGATATCAGGACTAGATGATACCCAGCTATCAATGCCAACTGCTTAGAAAAGGATCAAAATTGTATTAGAGTGGGAGGAAAAGATGTGGAATAATAACAAAAAAAAGATCAGGATTACTGGTTGGACAGAGACTGGTGAAACCCTTGAGACTATGGTCCCTAGTTACCCTTAGGGCCTGGAACTGGACTCACTCTTGGGGTTTTACTCTCAGACAAACAACAGACAGTTTTACCAGGTGAACAATCAAGCATGGGAGGTCAGAAAGGAAGCATTTGCACAGGGAGAAATCTAGGAAGGCAGGAATGAATAAGCAAGAAAGACACAGAAAAGGTAGCCACAGGGAAAACAAAGCTGCTTTGTAAAATTCACCGAAATCACAATAAAAAGTTCAAAAAAGAGAAAGAAGAAGAAGTGGTGAAAAGTAGAAAATGGTGACTTGGGAGAAAAAGATGTAGGTCAGCAAATCAACTCCTAGTGAACAAACACACTGCGAAGTGATGCAGGGGACATTGACAGTAGATGTGGCACCACTGCCATTGATGAGAACTGCTTTGGTCGATTACCTCGTGGGAGCTACATCCTAATGGCACAAAGAGCATGGGAGAAAAGGTAGTGTTTGAAGCACATTGGACTAGTCTCTCACGCTCCCTGGGGTCTCTTAATCTCCAGTCCTCCAACTCCAAGCTCTGGAGGTTAGTGTGACCATAGCAGGGAAACACTACTTTTAATTTGGTATGAGCTCAATGGATATTAACACCTTCAGGAAGAGAGAAAACAAAAAGGTAAGATCTCTGTAAGAAACTTAATGGAGAATCCTCTCCATTCCGTGGAATGTCAGTTTCTTTTTGGGGGAGTTTAGGGATAAATTAGAAGCTTTGTGGGATGTGGAAGGGACAAAGAGTACATATTTCCACGGTCTGGTCTTTTTATCTTTCTTTGGACAAGGAGCAGAAAGGAGCTGGGGACTGGGAACGCAGAAGACAAAATGAATTACAAGAGTTATTTGGTAAATGTAAATATTTAGTGACAGGTTGGACTCTGGCCTCATGTTTTGGCTTCATGAATGGAATTTCAGCACTCTATAGCCCCCAAGGGGCAGGGCATGGGGAGACCTGGGCTGGGGCTAGGGGAGGCTTCTAAAGGCCTCTCCATGCATGTAACATAGTAGAACTGCTTCATAGGATTTTCCTGGCTGTAATTTTTATGGAAGCAGAGTTGCAAGCCTTTCTTCTGCAATGCTGCTGCGTGGGTTTGAACTGCCAACCTCTAGATTACTAGTCCAGTGCAAAATGTTTGTTCCACCCAGAGACCTTGGGTGCACAATTTAAGGAGGCTCTCTCATGCTCAGAAGTGCAGCATGACTCTAAGAGTCAGTGTCTCCTTAAATTTTGTGCTTGAGGCCCTAGGAAAAGACTAATTGTTTTTGTAATTATTCATTCAATGTCAGCCTCTCTGTCTACATGAGATTCCTTGTCTGCTTTTTGTTTACCACTTTGTATGGGGCCTGGCACTTAATTTGTGGGATGAATGAATGAATGAATGAGTGAATCAATGAATCAGTCAATAAACTCTCCACTGGGAGAAACTCCATTAATTTGTCAATACTCAGCTCAAAGGCCCTCCAAAACCTTGCCTATTGCCTGGGTAGCATTAAGGGCCATCTCTTAAGTTCCCATCACACCCTGAGCCCCATCCCACCATTGAGGTTGTGTATGATGGTACTTAAAGAAGAGCTTGGACTCCATAATTGTACTTCTGAGGTGCATATCTGACTCCATCACTAATTAACTGTGTGATCTTGCCACTTTGTTTAACTCCCCCATGCCTGTTTCCCCATCTGTAAACTGGGGCTAATCATAGTTGTGTCATGAGGATTAAAGCACACATTAAGCACTTAGAGTGATGCTAAGCACATAGTAAGTGCTCAATAAATGCCAGCTATTCCCTGTATCAGCACATTTATCACCCTGCTCTGTAATTATCTACTTAATTAAAGATAGTGAGCATCTCAAGGGCAAGTATTCTGACTTACTTATTTATGTACCTCTGTCTCCTGGTACTCAGTAGGCTATGTACCCTGTATTCACTCAGTGAGCCAGTGGGGTAGGGGACAGAAGAGAGCCTTAAACTATAAGGCTAGCACCGTGAACTTCTATCTTCCCATCTCCACTCCCCACCACCATGCCTGGTACAGACCTCCTCAGTCCAGAAGGGCTCTGAGCCCCCTACTCACCCCACACACACACCCTCATTAATCTTGATTAGGGAGTCCTTGCACTGGAGTTAATTTTCTTGTAGATGCGTATCAGTCATGTAGCAGGGAATCTCTCCCAAGCTAATGAGGAATCATAGTCTTGCCATGTTATTACTTAGTTAATTAGTACACAGACTTCTTTTTTTGGGGAAAAAAAGGTCAGGGAAGATATCTGCAGAAAGGCAGAAAGTTGGGGAGCTGGGGTTTCTGGAGGCACTGGATGTGGGTAAGGACTCTCAAAAGAGGGTGGGCGCGATGTTGGGCTCCCACTTCTCCTTCCCCTAGACTGACCCCAGGAGGTCAGCCTGGGGCATGGGGGGTTCTAGCACCCCTGTTGTCAGCCCAGTGTCCTGGGGGACTGTGCCCGCATACAAGCCTTCACACCCTGCCCAGGTTGCAGGAGCCTCTGGCTCATGGATCAGATCTAATATCCTGATGAGAAAGAGTCCTAGGCCAGCTGGGCAGTTTCTGACGACCCAGAGTCACAGGAGGGCTCTTGGCTGCAAGCAGGCATTGCAGAAATGAGACCCAAGACGAGGAAGCCAGAGCTGTCCTAACAGTCTTGAGCCAGAGCGGAGGCCTTGGTGCTTGCTGTGTCTTAGATGGAATGAATGAAGCACAGGCCTTTTCTGGCCACTTTGTTCTTCTACACAAGATTCAAATCCCAGGGAGGGAGAGTCAGGTTGCCTGCCTGCCCCTGGTTCATTCCTCCAAAGGGAATTAAGGTCCTGTTAGAGAAGGGGAAGGGGCACTGGGTAGACAGGGAAAATACCTGCTCTCCCTCCCTTGTGAGCAAGTTTCTTCTTTCATTCAACAAAGACATATGAAATGCCTTTTATGTGCCAGCACCTTGGGCATTAGCTTACAGAAGTAGACCGTATGATCAGAGAGACCCCCATGCCTTTCTCCAGGGATAGCATCTCTCAGGAGTGTGCTATGAGGCCTGCTGGTCACAAGGCTCCACAAGGGGTGACGTTCTTGGAAAGGTCTATAGTTTGGGAACTATGACATCAGGAACAATTGCACCAGGGAGGCAGCCTAGAACGGTGAGCTATTGATCCTATGACCTTAGGCAGGTAACATCTCTCTGGGTCTCAGCTTCTTCATCTATAACATGGGAATGACAGTAGTACCTACTGCATGGAGTTGTTCAATGTTAAAGGATGTATAAGCATATGACAAAGGTCTGGTACATAGTAGGTGCTGGGATGCCCAGGGGAGATCTAAAGTTAGGACCAAGAAATGGATTTGAGGCTGTATCAGGAAACACTGTATGGATCATAACAAATTATGGATAACATTGAGAAGAATGGGAATTCCAGAACACTTAATTGTGCTCATTAAGAACCTGTACACAGACCAGGAGGCTGTCATTCACACAGAACAAGGGGATACTGCATGGTTGAAAATCAGGAAGGGTGTGAGTCAGGGTTGTATCCTTTCACCATTCTTATTCAATCTGTATTCTGAGCAAATAATCTGAGAAGCTGGACTATATGAAGAAGAATGTGGCATCAGGATTGGAGGAAGACTCATTAACAACCTGCAATATGCAGGCAACACAAGTTAACTTGCTGAAAGTGAAGAAGACTTGAAGCACTTACTGATGAAGATTAAAGACTACAGTCTGCAGTATGGATTACACCTCAACATAAAGAAAATGAAAATCGTCACAAATGGACCAATAAGCAGCATCATAATAAATGGAGAAAAGATTGAAAGTGTCTAAGACTGCATACTATTTGGATCCACAATCAACACCCATGGAAGCAGCTGTCAAGAAATTAGACATCGTATTGCACCGGGCAAATCTGCTGCAAAAGATCTCTTTGAAGTGTTGAAGAACAAAGATGTCACTTTGAAGACTAAGGTGAACCTAACCCAAACCATGGTATTTGCAATCGTCTCATATGCATGTGGGTCGAGGATGTAGCTCAGTGGTAGAGCGCATGCTTTGCATGCATGAGGCCTTGGGTTCAAGTCCCAGCATCTCCACTGGTTTTCTCTCTTATGGGAGCTCTGGTGGCCTAGTGCCTAAGGCACTTGACTGCTAACCAGAAGGCTGGCGGTTCAAATCCACCAGCCACTCCTCGGAAGGAAGATGGGGCAATCTACTTCCATAGTGATACTGCCTCAGAAACCCAAGGAGGGGTCACTATGAGTCGGGTCCGACTGGACAGCACATAACAACAACATATGCATGTGAAAGCAAGACAATGAATAAGAAAGATCGAAGAAGAGTTGATGCTTTTGAATTGTGGTGTTAGCAAAGAATGCTGAAAATATCATGGACTGCCAGAAAAACGAACAAATTTGTCTTGGAGGAAGTATAGCCAGAATGCAACACAACAGAACTTTGTCCAATTCACTTGCTTTGGACACATCACCAGGGGGAACAATTGCTTGAGGAGGACATGTTTGGTGAAGGAGAGGGCTAGTGAGGGCAAGGGAGACCCTCAGCGAGATAGACTGGTGTTATAGCCACAACAATGGGCTCAAACATGCTGGTGGTCATGAGGATGACTCAGGACTGGGCAAAGCTTCTGTTACCATGGTATTATTGAGGCATTCTGTTGTACATAAGGCTGCCATGAGTCAGAGTCAACTCAAAGGCATCTCTCTCTCTCTCTCTTTCTATCTCTGTTTATTCATCTTTCTTTCTACTTACCTACCTAGCTATCCTTCCCTCCTTCCCTCCCTCCCTCCCTTTTTCCTTCCTTCCTCCCTCCCTACTTCTTTCTTTCCTTCTTTCTACTTGCCTATCTACCTACCTACCTTTCTATCTGTCTGTCTATCTATCCATCTGTAGAGCAGAAGCAAGTCACTAGGTCCCATCCACACTCAAGGGGAGGGGATTACACAAGGGTGTGACTACACGGAGATGGGGCCAATGGGGGAGGGGATTATCCGAAGCTTCCTGCCACCTCTACACTGGGGACCACCCATGGGAAAAAGTTGGGGGGTGTCTTTGTCTTTTTCTCCACTGTCAAATCCCTAGCACCTAGGAAAATGCCTGGCATGGTATAGGAACTCAATGAATATTTGGCCAATGTGTCAGTTGGGGTTCCCTCAGGACAGGGACTGAATAGGGAGGGGTCTCCTCTCCCCTTTGTCCTCCTCCAACACCCCAGATGGATTTCGAAGCCCAGAGCCTGCAGTGATCCTGCAGGAGAGCCTGCTCCCACCCAGAAATGCCTCTGGTTGCATTGCAGTGATTTTGTTCCTGACCTCCCGCTCCAAGAGAAGGCACAGTCTGTCCAGAAGGAGATGTGTGAGAATTGGATTTGCTGCCAGGGTCAAACTTTGCAGGGCTTTATCCTGGCTGTCACCTTCCTTTGAAGCAGAGAATGTTTCTCCAAATGATACCTCTCAGTTGCGGCCCCTCCTCACTGGAATCAGAGCCTGGGAGCCTCAGCAGTCCTTCCCTCATTTGAAGTGCACTGTCCAGGTCCAGGATACCTTCACCTCTCTCTCTCTCTCTCTCTCTTTCTCTCTCTCTGACCTTTGCAATGGCCACCTCACTGGAGTCCACATTTGCCCTTGGGCGCCCAGCAGCCACAGGGGTCTTTTAAAAACTCAAATTGAGTTACCGCTTAGAGGGTGCTGAGTTTCTTTTAAGGGTGATGAAACTTTTGGAAATGGATAGTAGTAATGGTTGCATAGCATGATGAATGTAATGTCACTGAATTGTACACATAAAAATGGTTAAAATGGCACACACACATATGTATATTTACCACAGTTGAAAAAAAAATTAGATCATGTAATTCTCCTGTTTAAAGCCCTCCAATGGCTTCTCATCTCTTTGGAATAAAATCTGAACTCCTACCCTGTGTGCTCTGACTCTGATATCTTTCCCAGCTCATTTCCTAAAATTCTCCCCCAGACCCTAGTGACAGGTACCAAAAAACAAACCGCCATCGAGTGATCCAACTCAAAGTGACCCTTCCTTGGGTTTCTGAGGAGATATCACTATGGAAGTAGATTGCTCAGTCTTCCTTCTGAGGAGTGGCTGGGGAGTTTGAACCACCAGCCTTCTGGTTAGCAGCCAAATACCTCAGGCACTGCGCCACCACCAATTCCAGGAACATGCAAAGTTCTTCCTCCCTTGTAGGCTCTTCTCCCTCTGTTGCTTCTGTCCGGGACTCTTCCCCTAGCTCTTTGTAGCTATGTTGTTGTTGTTGTTGTTATGTGCCGTCGAGTCGGCCCCGACTCATAGCTACCCCTCCTTGGGTTTCCGAGGCAGTATCACTACGGAAGTAGGATTGCCCAACCTTCCTTCCGAGGAGTGGCTGGTGGGTTTGAACCGCCAGCCTTCTGGTTAGCAGTCAAGTGCTTTAGCCACTATGCTACCAGAGCTCCTAAGCTATGGCTCCTTCTTAATCCATTGCCACCGAGTTAATTCCAACCCATAGCAACCCTGTAAGGTTCTACAGAGTAGAACTGCCCCAAGGCTGTAATCTTGATGGAAGCAGACTGCCATATCTTTTTCCTGTGGAGCAGCCGGTGGATTCAAACTACTAAGTTTTCAGGTAGCAGCCTAGAGCTTAACTGCTCACCAAATTATCCAGTTTAACTGTCACCTCCTCCAGGAAGCGTTCCCTGACTATGCTATGCTGCCATTATTCTCATTTGCATAATCTCATTTATTTGTCTCCTGCTACACATTACAATCTGTAACTGTTTAACTTGGATTGTTGACTTGTTTACTGTCTGTTTTCCCTATGGACTATCAGGTCCATGAAGACAGGGCTGATCCCTGATTGCTCATAGCTGTGTCCCGAGGGCCCGGAACACTGGGATAAATGAGTTTCTCCTTTTCTGGAGGATTACAGCAGCCTTCTAACTTTCCTCCTTGCCCGCAGGCTCACCTACTCCCATCCATCTTGCACAGCTGCAGGACAAACGAGGTACTAGTACAGCTCTGAGCAAGTCATGCTCACTTTGGATGCCCTCAGTGGCTCCCACCTGCCCAGCAGGGTCAGGAGCCCTTCAGCTCATGTTCCAGTCTGGGCCAGGCTACCTTTCTAATCATATTCCTAACACTACTTTACATGAATTAATGTTCCAGTCAAATGAGAATTTGCTGTTTTCCTGAATATTCCCTGCCCTTTCCCATCTCTGGATTTTGGCTGGTACTTTCCTTTCTCCCCTTCCCTGTGACATAAAGGTTCATATTCAGCTCAGCTCAAGTTACCTCCTCCAGGAAGTCTTCCCCGACTGCCTCTGTTGATGACAAAGGAAGAACTTGGTATTTGGAGTCAAACCTAGATTCATATTCCTTCTCTGCCTCTTGTTGCTGGGGTAATCTTAAGTAAGTCACCCCAAATGTCTGAATAGGTTCAGTGAGAACAGTCCTGGCTATCTCATGAAGTTGTTGAATAAAATATATTATATGGAAGTTCCTGGCCCAAAGGAGATGTAGGAAAGACATGAGGTCCTTTCCATGTTGCTTACTGGTGATTTGCAATACTCCAGCACACTTAACTCTCCCTGTAATGGTGGCATACTCACCTTTCTCTGTCCCCATGGATCTAAGAGCTACTTCAGGGTAGAACCTTTGCCCTCTCCACCCCCTAACCTGTCTACCACAGAGCTATGCACCAAGCAGGGTCTAGTAAGAGTTTGTTAAATGTTCTCAAGCTTTCCACTTCTCCAGAGAGTCTTCCTTTGTATAGAAAAGCAACTCAAACAATTTTATGCTCATTCTTTTACTCACTCACTGAGCTTTCCATGAGAACAAGAGAGCCATGTTTCATGACCTTATGGAAACTGCTTTCTAGAATTATATAACTGTCATAATTTATTCAGTCAACAAACACCTGTCTACTACTGCTGTGCACTTATCAGTCACCCCCTTAAATGCTCCAGCGTCCTAGAACTCACTAACAGTTGCCAAGGGCACCTGGAACCTTCTTTCTTATGGTTCACTCTCCCCTCAAGGGCCACTTTTCAAGTTTCCTGGTTGCTGCTTCTTCTCAGCTGGAGAATAGTGGCTGTGCTCTGGGCCCCTGGCAAGATCTATGAGACCCAGGACCTCTGCAGGCAGTGGGCTGAGAGATTCCCTGTGATCTGCTGCAGGCAGCAACAGGGGTTAGCAATATCTGCCTCTCCATTTCCCTTGTGGGTTTCGGACTCTCTGATAAAGCTCAGCACCTTCAGAGATAGCCAGTGGCAGCCCAGCAGAAGATCCTGCAGGGAAGTTCTCCTTCCTTAAAGAGGAGCGGAGAATCTCTCCTGAGAGAGAATACCTGGGCAGGTAAGAATGGCCCTTTGGGGCTTGACCCTGGCTTTCTAAGCCTCACTACTACTCCTTGGGGCTCTCCAGGTGGCACTTCCACTTCCCCCATCCTGACTACTTCCCCCTTTCTCGATGGGCTGAGTGTGGACACACCATCCTTCCCCTTGCCCTCCTTTAACATAGCTGAGTTACGCTGGTAACTTTCACCTTTTCTGAAAATTGAAATACATTAGAAAATAAAGAGAAAAATCAAACTGGGAAGAACAGGTTTTGATCCTCCAACTGCACCCAGTTTCCCAAGTTCTGAGCCCTGCTCTGGGTCACCCTCTCAGAACTTCACTGGAGTCTTCACTTGCAAATAAAGAGGATTTTTCTATTGGTTAAGCCATCTTGGGCATTCTAGACCCTTTCATTCTCAGGCTATACCAGCTTTCCCCTCCCACCCTCCTCCCTTCCCTGAACAAATTGTATTTCTGTTGCATTTCTGGGGACAGGATGAGAGGGCAATGGGTTGGTGGATGCTCCCCAGGACTCTGTCCTTCTCCAGGTTCCCAAAGAGCTCAGAAAACAGTCCAGGCCTAGAAGCCCCTCAATCCCACCATAACTCTCCCTCTCTGCAGGATCTGAGAGGCAGCCTCTCCCAACTGCCTATGACCCCCTGGCCTGCTCTTGACCTCCACCCTAACTCTTGCTTTGACTGGCTCACACCTGCTCCCCTGCTCTGCTGCTACCACTGGGGGCCATGCTTGCAACT